CGGGGAAAATGGAACAGGAAACGAAGCGTGACTTAAAGAATGGTAGTATGCATAAGTAGTGAAGGTCTATTTTTTATTCCACGCGAGTGCAGTGTATTCAAGACGTCCGATAAATTGTATGAACTTTCTTTTTTTTTACGTTAGAAGAAATCTGCTACTTAGGAGGGCTCAATTGTCAAGTATGTTTTATCTATTAGTAATCGAATTATTGGAGCCGCTTGCAAAAATTGATTATAATACGATTTTAACTGTTGTTTTTTATAATTACGTAAGTTAAGTTTAATTTGTTTTTGTGCATTTTTAGTTGGAAATTATTTATTAAAAATTATCCAGTTCAAAAATCTTGATATTGTGAGTTTATTTCTACTGAAACACAAAAAAACATATTTTTTCTACTTTGGCTCCAGTAATTTGATCACCTCACTGTAATTTATAAGGAGCAATGGTTTCAGTTCTGCCATTGCAGAAATTCCAAGAAAAAGATATATTGTGGGAATATTATAATGGCTAAAAATAGTTATCTATACTAAATAGTTAGAAGACTAAACGCTTCTCAGTTCGATACAATTGAGAAAATGCAAAGGTACATTCGATATACCTTTAGAATGGTCCAATTTATATCTGTATAGTTCCACTAAAGACATGGAATACTATGAAGAGTGCGAAAGATAACTCTTATCTAAGGACAACAGCGAATATATATCCTTTAAGATCAGAGATTTGCGTTCAGTGGACTTTATTTCATTATCTCTTCTTCCAGTAGATCTTCGTACGTTATGCTCTCTACAGTTCTAAGAGGAATTCTATATTTGGCCACATGAGACAAAAACACTTAAGATTTCTGGACACGGTTATCGGAATATTAATATCCGGCGCCCTTAGTCAACGAAAAACCCCGACGACAATCGATCGTCCACGGTGGAAACATGGAACGAGAAAAATCGGCGTGCCACTTCGAACGTTAAGGGGACATTTCCTGATCCTCGACGGTGATAATTCTTTCCGACGTCGACGCTTCGGGCGGACACCTACAGTCCAGGAACGTCTTCGGATTACAGGGTTTGTTTCGCCACTCCTGGCCTACCCGGCTCTGTTTTCTTTGAGTCGTAAAATTTGAGATGTTTTGGTACGTTTCTAAACTGGACATTATTCAAACTGAAATACATTCGAATTAAACAACTCCCATTTTAGTTTATCTTAATCCTATTTTTCTCTATATGATCGTATTTATCTCTAATAAGAAGAAATAAGCACATTTGATTACATTTGTTAGTATTTTCCACAAGAATAGAATAATGTGGGCATTCAGGTGTATATAATATCGACTGTCTCCTCCATTCCTCCAATTTTGACAAAAATATCACAACAATAAAATCCCAGGATGTTTAAATATCATGACACCAACTAAGCTGTTCCGTCGTAGACCGAAACGACGGTTATACAGTCAGACGATACCGTTACTTTTTATTATTTTATTCCTTTTTTTTTCAGTCAATTTATATATTTTGCAAGACCGACCCTTTGCAATTTTAATTTCGTTAACACAAAGAGAATAATAGACAAAAGAAGCGAACATTTGGTCTGCAGTCCGCCACATGCGCTCGGTAACCTGGGACCCATCCGCGCCGGGCCTTACCGGGGCGCGCTGACTCGCAGACAATATAATCATAAAACCCTACCGTTGAGAGACTCGAAAATTCGTCGCGGTCAACTCGCACCGCGACCACGTGCGCGATATTTTCCTGACGTCCGCTTCGCCCTGAAGGAGAGGTATTCCACCTCCGCGTCGCGTGAAAAACCCGAGAAATTTGCCTTCCCCTTCAGGGCATCACCAATAAGGAGGCGAGTTTTGGTCACGCCTTCATCAAACTTTGAGGAAGCGCGACGTCACACGAAACTCGAACAGACAGTCGAAAAGATACACACAGTCGAAAAGATACATACAGTCGAAAAGATACATTCAGTCGAAAACATTCAATAGAAAACACTCGTTCGCAAACACTCGTTCGCAAAACATACTCGTTACGACTAGAGTCACACGGACTCAATTCATTCGCATTAACTCGCAATCGAACAATCATTCGACAACATTCGCATCACGATTCGCCAGCTCCAACGGTCGAGCAATTATTCGTTTTTCTCACTAAAGAAATTGAAACAGTTGCCTAAAATTAATTTGGCGGGCAACAGTTCGCAACCGGACGCGTACCACGACGGTCGAGCCTGGAATTTACAACTCCAGGCGGATTCGAAAGAGAAATCCACGCGGACGGACGCGACAAAGCAAATACGAATTGATTTAGAAAAAAATATAGTATAATTCCCATTGAAATTACAATTACGTAAAAAATGAAGTACATGAAACAACTTACGTAATTCACTCAAATTATAATGAAATCTAGATCCTGATCCTCCAACATATACCGTACCATCAACAACAAAATACCGCGATTATTAAAGCATGAAATTGTAATTCGATTTATTTATTTTTTTCTATGATCCCTGATTCAAAAAACATTTCAAAGAAGCGATTGCATGCCTCGATCTCATTCGGGACAACAAAATAGCTCAAAGTTCGACGGCGTTAAGCTTCCAGCCCACTTTCCTCGCTCGCCCTCGGGGGGCGATTCGCCCGAAATCCACGGAACCGGGGCCAGTTTCTTTTTTTCATTGGCAAACGATGTAAAGGTGAAGTCATGCACCTTGGCCATCGGGTCCGTGGACCGACGCATCTGCGTTAAAGAATTCATTGGCCCCGTAAATGGGCTTTTTAAGGGCAGCCGCCATGCACGATCCGCCGCTTTAATGTTGATTTTTTGACTTAACGCTTCGCTACCGTCGCGTCCTCGCGAGCAATTCCGTTCAGCTGCACGTGTGTCAATATCCTTTAACGGTCGCTGCGCCTTACACGCAATAAATTATTTATAAACGAAACCTGGAGAATCGTATTGAGACCGTGCACGCCTGGATCCGGTGTATTTAAGGTTCGACGTTCGATCAACCGTTTTGCAAAACGATTTCGAGCGATCTTCCCTATCTGTTCCCTTTGTTCAAAGAAACTTCTATTCGAATCTGGTCACACGAATATACAGGGTGAGTCAATAAGAACTACTATCTAAAATAACTCGTTACTTATTGGGTGTAACAGAAAACGTTTTAATGAATTATCTAGCATTTTAATGGATATCATATTTTTTTTTAGATATCAGGGTGAAATTGATATTTTTTAAGATCAATGCATCTTTTTTTTAATACCATGTTCTTGTCGATGAAACGTCGATTCGAGAGAATTACGAGAGAAAAGCCGTGAAATTACGCCGGACACGCAAAGAAAAAAAAATCAAATTGTATCCATTCGATGTGTTCTTCAAAATGCTACATAATTCATTAAAACGTTTTCTGATACAACCAATAGACGAGTTATTTTAGATAGCAATTATCATTGACTCACTCTTTATATGCTTTTTCTATTTCTCACGATCCTGATATCCAGAGACATTATAATAATTATAACAACGCAGGTTTCGAATGGTAAGTTCCATCAGTGTTCGTGAAAGAAAAACTCACTCTAACCCATTATTTTAAGACGATTACGCACCAAAGATAATTACACGTCACAGAGGGCTCCTATAGTTGCGACGTAAGGACACGGTTTTTTTCTTAACGATCCACCTCGAGAGCGGGGCTTCGCCGGAGAGGCACTTCGCCTCTCTTCACGAAAAACTCGAGGGTCCATCCAGGCCCCCATCCTTTTCCGTTCTCGTAAGAGCGAGCATAGGCTGCAAGTCATTTGGCCGGGCATCCGTTGTGATTTGTCAGCCACCACGCGATGCGATAATGCGTCGTGACGGGTGCTCCGTCGACGTATGGTTGTCTTCATCGCCGGGACGACAGCTCCCGCGCCGTCCCGGAGACTTCGACGCGTGGTCGTGACTGCGGTAGGCCGAGCCAGTCGTTTATAGCAGCGCGATGAAGTTAGTGCAATCCGTGATAGCACTTAAGGGGACATTCTAACTTTGACGAGACGTCGAGTGTATGTCGAATACTGTTGTTTTTGTACTGCTTTATGATGCTTGAAACATTCAGAGGATCGTTTCGAAACGGTTCACATTAACGGTTTCTTAATAAGTAGCTTAGGTACTACCTGTTTTGATGGATCTTCAATGTGTTAAAATGGTTTTCAATCACTAGATTGTAGATGCCATTTTCCATACACAAAAAGAAAATAGAATTTACGTGACTTAAATGTTTATCTAAAATTATATTTTGTTATTATTTAAAAACTTGTATTTCACGGATCATTTTACGGATATCGGTTACAGCCGGGAGTTAGAGGCGAAAGGGTTGAAAAGTGTAAAGTTTTGTAGAATGAGGATGAATATTATTTAAACATAGTACTGGCTGTCGAATTTCTTAAAAATAAGTATTGAATGTTATGCAAAGAATTTGAGAATTTGAAAAGATTTACTTATTGGTGCACTTAATAATTGAATTTTTGTTAATCTGTGATTCTAGTCATCTTTTGTTCTAGATAAAATTGTTTCTAATGACCACACGGTTGTTGCAGTCGAATCCAAGCGTGATCAGTAAGAAAATGTTACTTAGTTTTATTAATTATTATAATAAGTACCCACAAGTGGGTAACGCGTTCCGTAACTAAAATTTGGTAGAAAAGTCTTTCACTATACCCTAATCAGTGCTTCCCCCGAGTTACAGGTAGTTAAGAAATGGTACGACTACAAATGCAATTGCATCGATTCACTTTCCTCGACGCACAATCTACAACCTCCTATCTGTCCACGAAACAAGTAGTACTGTTTCCTTAGTAAAGGCAGAACGACGACGATCATTGATACAAGATCGACGTTAATTGGTCGTTTCCACGAACATTCCCTAATGGTCCGAGCATGATCGATTCAATTCTGATTTCCGTTCTCTTCGTTGGTCGATTAATTGGATGTTTGGAACGACGCCAAACTTAGAAGCGAAATCCATGGAGGTCAATGGGGTTGCTTGTCGGCCTCGTTGTTATTCGTCGGGTTCACTTGTGCCACAGCCTTGTCTTTCGGCCGATCTGTCGCCTCGACAGTCGTGTTCTCCTCCTTTTCCAGCTCCACGTAATAAACGTGCCTCGCCGCGTAGCAGAGCAACAGCATCTCGATTAGCATCAGGGCATTGTAGGTAACTGAAATCGGACGGGAGAAAGTAACAGTTCTTGTCCGGCTTTTATCTCCGCGGGTATGGAAATGTTACGGAGGGTCGACCGGTTCCCTTTTACGTGTTACCTTTCGTCTAGTGGCCCGGGGAATATGAAATTAGAACTCAAGAGTCAACGGTACCACTAGATCGCTGAGAATCGACAATTATACGTTGGAAGATCGACATTGATCGTTGGACGTTAATATTTGAAATTAAAAATTAAAAATTGAAATAGCCTGGAGGGTTTGAAATTAGAATTTAAATATCAACTGCACCATTAGAACGCTGATAATTGAAAATTATACATTGCAAGATTGACATTGATCGTTTAAAATTAGCAGATTAAATGTTTGAAATTAAAAATTAAAAATTGGAATAGCTCAAAAGTTGTGAAATTAAAATTTAAATATTAACGGTAACACTGGAATGCTGAGAATTGACAATTATTCGTTGAAAGATCGATATTGATAATTGAATATTGGCAAGGTATACATTTGAACTTCAAAATAAAAAATTGGGAATCCAGAAATTCAAATTCGAGGTATAACATTAATTGTTTAAGCGTACAAATTGAAGCGAAAAAGGAATCTTCTCTCCATATAGAAGATCAAAAGTAAAGTGGCGTTGAAATCGAAATGGCGAAGAGTGAAAAGAGTATTCCGGAACGATAACCGCAGGTTTATCGACGAATCCCGTCCGAGTATTACGTGCAAACGGTCAATAATGGCACCCTATTAAAATATGAAAAGATTGAAAAGGAGGTTCGTGGCTGGATGTCCGCTTATTATTATTATTATCCGTTTCTTTGAGCCGCGAAAAAAAAGGCAGAGAATTTTACCATTCGCATAGATTTGAGGTGTAATTGGCGGATTACATGGAAACAGGCCCGTTTGCGGCAAACTCTTCACAATGAACGCCTGCAGCTTCGAAAACAGCAGCACCATCTGGGACACCGTTGCTCGGTGGTGGAGTTTCGCCTCTGTGAAAATGACCGCGGGGTCAGAAGCGTATATATCCATTAACACTATGGGGGCGTGGGACAATGGGCGGAGGGGAGTTTTCAAGAACCATGGAAATTGCTTCCTGTCGCGTTACTTGTGTGGTCTCTCTGTATAATCGTTTAGCATTTAGTCGCCGGGATTTCTGTTTCTTGCTTTCTCCGCTTTGATGCCTTCGGAATGACGATGCCTTTCGAATATTTAACGAACGGAATCGAATTTTCATTCTGTATGCACACGCTGGTCGCTTTCCTTTGATCGTGAAAAATGGACGTTACAGAATACTTTACGATTCTGTATAAATAGTCACTCGAAACAGGCGTAGATAAATTGTTTTTCACGACCTTGATTATAATATTTTAATCCGAGAAATTGTATAACATACATTTTCAATGCTGGAATTTAGTTTATAGATATTAATCTTGTATTTATTTTACTTTTATTGTAGTGGTGGACGTTTGTCTGTAATAACTTTAATTATTTAAGTTCCGAATGTCCGTGACGACTGAAATGTTTTGGAAAAAAGGGGGGTCGTCAACGATTCTTCGAAGAATAAAATTGCGAGCAGCATTTCGTTCAAGCGGATCGAAAATACCGCCGACCGAACGAGCGAGGCGGACAAAGCGAAGGGTAAACGTACGGGTAACGCAGAAAATTGCTTTGCGGTCGCGTGTTTTGAATAATTTCGTACGGCCGCGCGGAGATAGCAGGAACAGATTATGCAGTCAGATCCTTCCTCTTAATTAAGCATACACGATTTTTACCTGGAGCGACTTCCTGCAGACTCTTCACGGTAATGGTCAGACCATATATTCCGAGAAGTATGCTGGTCACAGTGAACGGCTGCAGCCAGACGCCATATTGTGTCGCGAAGCTTGGCTCTTGGATCGACAGAAAAAGCAACGTGCAACAGGTTAAGGTCTGAAAACAATAAAAACGACATTAAAAATATTTCTCTACAAAAAATATAAAGAATTAAATTAAATAACCCACAGTTTCTTGAAGTAAGGGCAGAGAAAAGCTTTTTCGAAATAGAAATGTCTAAAAGGAATACAAACTGTTTCCCAGGGAAATCTCTCCTAGAGTTAACGACCCAAAACAGACATTTTTCCGCAGAAAGAAAGGCCCGAATTAGGCGTCGAAAGGAACAAGTCAGCGGAAAAAGAAGAAATAACCTGGATAATAGGAAGCTGTAGGACTAGCAGCCGGAGCCAGGATAAATTGGCCTCGGTCATTTCGAGTTCCGGAAAGGGCAGACAGGGCCAGCAGCAACAGGGGCCGACTCGCAGCAATAATGCCGGCGACTTCGTGACTCTTTTGCGGCCGATGTACACCAGCAACAGATATAGCCGGTACAGGGCTGTCATTAAGAAAATTTGAGTGACCGTCTCCGACAGCAGTTGAGACCTGAAACAAAAAAAATATTAAAAGGAGTATCAGTGTGCAATCAGATCGGTGGATCGATATCCGAAAACTTTTCGACTGATCGGGGTACGAAGTGGTTCCTATGTAATTTTGAACGTACAATCTGTATACAGTTCAATTTCGAAGATTGAAATTCTGAGACTCTTCTGGTCACCAGGTTGCTGAATGTTCCTCTACAATTTCAAGTGTACAATCAATGTGCAATCATCATCCGAAGATTACAACTCTGGAAGTTTATAGGTCATCGGGGTTCAAAGTAAATCCTATGTGACCTTACGTGTACCATCAATGTGCGATTAACTTCTGAAGATTAAACTTCTGGAATTTCTTCAGTCATCAGGACATAAAATGCTCCCTATACAGTTTGAAGTGTACAATCATAAAGATTACGACGCTGGAATTTTTTAGGTCACCAAAGTTCAAAGTAAACCCTATGTAACCTTACTTATAACATCAACTGTGCGATCAATTTCTAAAAACTGAACTTCTGGGACTTCCAAGACCATCGGAGCCTAAAATGCTGTCTGTATAATTTAGAACGAAAAATTACAATTCTTCAAACATTTACAATTCCGAAACGACCGAAACCTTCTTGGCCCCTGTACAATCTTGTGGGTACAATCAGTATATAGTGGACATCTGGAAATTAAAATTCTGAAATTGTTTAGACCATCAGGGCACAAAATGCACCCTGCACCACCCTCAAGCACTTTTTGTATGCGCAGAAGCTACTCAACAAAAAAAAAATGGAATTATTCGAGATGAAGTCCCGTTTGTTTCGCGGCCAGAATATTTAAATAAAAAACCACCTGGAAAAGATACACGTCGAAAATATCAATGGGGTGCTTCGCGACGATGGAATTTTCGTGTCACTGTCCCGCCGTCGTCGTTCGGGTTATCGGCGGAACCGATCAAATTTTGGGCATCAGCTGCGCAGGCGTGACACGGGGCCCAGGGATAGGGACCTATCTCGGGAAATCAAGATCATTAGTCGCGCGGTCCCGAGTTTCTTCGTACTGTTTTTCAGGGTCGTTAAAAACTGTCTCAAAGGTACAACCCCCTTTGTCTCGGGGTCCCACGCGACATTTGATCGCGTTTCCGCTTTTTCTCGCGGGTCCACCCTTAAGTGGATTTTCTGGTTTACTTCATTGCCGACGCTTCGTTGCCTTCCGTGTCGAGAGCGAACCCGTCTTATCGACTTTTTACATTCTTCTTCGAAGGCTTATCGAATCTGTTTCGCCGACCCTCGTGAATTTTAAAGCAATTTGAAAGTTTTCAATCTCGTATTTATTATGTAATAGAATATTATTTTATACATCGATAGCGTACGTTAATGTTTCAATAAAATATTCTGAATGCAGGCTCAATAATATTTTTACACTTTTATGATTGTTGTTTTTATAACATAGTCTCCGAAAATATAAATCTGTACAAATAACAGGTTGTATATGAATGAATTCTCCGGACTCAATCAATATCAGTAACACAAATATCAACAGGTGACTTAAAAATGGGCATCTAAAGTTAGAAAATAAACGTATATATAATTTCAACTCTAGGAACTGACGTTCCACGTTAAACAATCTATGTATAACATTTACCTTCACGCTTTATCAGGGACATTACATAATATTTATTCCGTCGTCTACAGCCTTCAAACATTATTTACCGTGATAAAGAATCGAGAAACCTGTCACTGATCTAGATCGTAGGTGATCGATGCGCGTTGGCTTTAATATCGATTAAGGGACTGAGGTTTTGTATTGTTGAATCCTTACGCGACATGTTTGGCATACATATAGAAAAATTATTACAGACTGTATGGTCTAAAATTACGAATAGGACTTATAAGGAAAATCGATGTTGATTACCATGAATCTGTGGCTTACCTTGGTATCCCCATCGCTGTAAGGCTACAGACACTGGCGACTGGATATACCATAAGAATCATAATACTGTTGATTTCATAGAACCTCGATTCCTTTTGGTAAAGTATATTGTGGCAAGCATCTACGGCGAAGTACAATGTTAGAGTGGACAATACGGTGCCGATACTTAAGAAACTTATACCAAAGGCGCCTAAACCTGAAAAAAATATACGAAATAAATATATAATTCAATGATCGATTAAACATTTACTAGAGACTAGGTAAAGAAAATGATTTACTGATCCGATGCACGATATCCTTGTTGACTCAGAATGTGACTGACAATGAGATACGTGAGGAATTCCGAACGACATTAGAATAATATTTATTCTACCGCTACTGTTTATTTGAATTCTGATAATCGTCCCAGGAATATCTATCGAGTTAAGTAAATCGCGGAAGCTAGGCTACGGATGGTAGATTACAGGTAAAAAATGAAGGTGAACGTATTCATGGTTTGTAAAAGTTGTCTGTTATGTATGGATCAGAGAGTGTAGCCACCGAAGGAAGTTTAACAATGGTTTTATGGATTGTATAACATTCTATGTACATAATCTTTCCATCGTAACAGTGCAAAATAAAGTAGAAACCGTATTAAACCGCCATAAAAGTGTTATTTTATTGTCACTTGTGTAATTACATGAAGTATTAGAAGTGAAATGAATTAATTAAAGTGAAATGAACAAATACAGTAGTAATTTTTACTCATTCAAAATATAAATAATTAAAATACTGTCTTCATTAATATACATATATGAACTCTGGAACTGGTGAAATGGATTAAAATGGACATTGTGGCTCAGGTTGCAGCCAATCAACATAACGGGTCTCATATTTAGCTACCAGGTTTCTCATTTACGTTACGAAATCATTTCTTTGGCGGACAGGTTGCATCACCTGGATTGCAAAACCCAGTATTAGAGAAACGCGGCGTAACAAATTGTACAATACTTTATTTTTCTCGAACAGTAGTCTGGAAGTGAATACTTCCTTCGTAGGATTAAATATCTAGGCTGGGAAAATTGTTTGGCAATCTAAAAGGGATGAGATTGTTTAACAAACTCGGTTCAAATCATTTCATCTGTCGACGAAAAATGTCTGTACATGTATACTTATATACTACATGAATCTCATTTCAACGAACCCCAATTACGTTGACATGCAAATTTCATCGTCAGGCACATCAAAGTAAGCGAGATAAAAATTCTCCCGATAATGTATTCTATGCATTTGCTTGTCAGATGTTGTCGCATCGTTGCAACGGCTCGTCAGTGTCGCGACAGAAGATTGCCTTGTCCAACATTCTCTCCTCCGAGGGCAAAAATGTACCCTTGTTAAAAAATTCATCGCGGCGGATTGATTCCCGCCATGTAAAGATCACTTAACGCGAACAAAGTGGTTACAGTGTTATAAAATCTCGTGCGGAGACGTGTTCATCAAAACGAAAAAGGCTTTAATTCGGCAATTTTTAATCCGCGAACACGCCGCCTGATGATATTCATTTATTCTATGGTAGCGGCACTTCTTTTTTTTTCGTTACTTCCACGGGTGAAAGCCCTCGTAATCGCGTCCCAAAGTCTATCCTCGATGCAAATACGAAACCAGTTTCGAGAGGTTCCGTTTAAAGAAGGTTCCACGTCGAGAATTTCGATTTAAAGTCAAATTACACTTCCACCTTTTTCCCGCCATTCGATAATTACGAAAAATATCTGCTTTCGACTCCTGAATCGGAAAAAGTTACGCGTTACCATTCCGAACTTTCACGAGTAGAAGGATTGTAATTATTTCTCTACTGGAAAAAGTTCTCGAAATGCACGGTTATTATTTTTAGGTTGCGCAACCGCTGTTTTCGAGGAAGTACAACGCGTTTCGCGTTAAGCACACACAGGCTGAACCGTACGAGTTACGAAGTTGGGGCAGGACTTTCACCGAGACGCGCTTGCGTCTGCGCATGCTCCGTAAATCGGAGCACTCGAATGGGCCCTGACAGAGATTGCACAGAGGCTGTTATCGGTAATTGGATAATGGATTGTTCTACAGTAATAATAATATAAATTTATAGTAATAATAATATAAATTTTGACAGTAGTGTCGAGATAGTAGCACACGTATTTATTAGTTCGGGACCACCATATACATGGAACGGTACTCGTACAGTGGTGGCCCAGAATGTTTCGTACTGTACTTTCTAGCAACGATGACTGTAACGCCAATGTGTGACCATTGTAACGCATTCTTCGATCTATCGTAGCTATTGACGAACACTATTATAAAGACAAGTGCCATTTAAGGACTGTGTGACTGGACTGCATGATTTTATGCACTTCAAACTTGTATAGTAAACACAGTAAACATAAAATCTTGTTAAACGATCTTATTTTGTATATGGTCTCTTCTTGTTTATTCGTATTACATGGTAGCTTCTTATTTATCAAATGGTCCCTTCTTAGTTACTTTTATTAAATGGTAGCTTCTTATTCATTCTCGAAAAACGCAAGTTTACATTCGTACATAAAAGACATTTTTCATAAAGGATCATTGAATCGGTTGACAAGCATTTTTTAGAGCATCAACATCCACTTGTCACTATAAAATTTCATGAATGGTGAACAACATATTGACGAAGCGTCACTCAATCTGTCACTGTCATAAAGAAGCTGATCTCGAGAAGAACAACATCCGAAGGAAGAAATTTTGTGCTCGATGAATGAAACTCGAATGAAAGTAAAATGGCAACTGACTCACTCTCTATGTGTTCCATCGCCGAGGGCACATAATCATGGTTACAGGTGAGGTTCCTGAAGGAGTTTCCAAAAGTCTCGATTTCAACCGACATCCTCGCTGCGCTCTGGAGCCCTTTCGACGCGTTACCGTGTGGCTCCCCGAGCGTTCCTTTTTTTCACCTTCGTGATCGTGTTCTCGGTCCGACAACACTCACAAAACGGGGAGAAACGAGCTCTCGGCGGTCTAGAGTGTTTTAAAAACGACGGGAGAACAGCGGTGGCCACCTTAGCCGGCGAGCAGTGAGAGTGAGTCCCCACTTTTACCGCTGCTGGATCACGGTGTTGTAACGGATCGGTGGAAGAATCAATATTAACGCGATTAGACCTCTGTCTTCGATATGTATTCTGTTTTTCCTCTATTGTACAAATAAAACCGTAATAATTTTTCTTTCGTTCTTACGTGGAGGACGATGGCCGATAAATCGCAGCAGAGTTGCGGAATTGATCGCATGTGAATCTTCTTTTACCCTTTCTTTACAGCTTTCTTTATAGATTCGTGGAATTATGCTCGTTAGTCATCGTATGCGTGAAAGTTCTGAAATGAATTAGAGAATGGAAGATTCTATTTGGCGATAATTGGCTTGTTTGATTTCTTTGTTCTTTCAAGGAAGTGAGAAACGAGTCTTCATCGAGAATAATTTATGTTAACGAAGTAATCGTTGTTGACGAAAAGAAATTAATTGTTTATGTGACAGGAATGGAAAATGTGGTGAAAGAAGATTGTAAGTGGTTGCGGTGATCGGTTGAGCGGGGATTTCTCTTGAGGTAACCTACCGGTAGATGGTGCGGTTCTATCCACCGAGTCTGTGCCGTCTGACGATACATACTGTAACACAACAGATGATTTAAACATTTATTGTACATACTGAAAAAAGTGTGGAAAATTAATCGTTTAACGAATCAATCGTAACAACTCTTTGCTGTACTTCCACCCTATTTTCATGAATTTTGGTTTAAAACTAGATTTACAAGTACCGAATCGATGGTAAACTAAATTGTATTATATATATGTATTGATGTTTGTAATATATAATACAACAGAATATAGTATAATGTAAAATGTATCACAAATGAAAAGTTAATGTAGATTCCGACAAAAGCACCATGATTTCAGTAATTGTAAAACAGGAATCTTGAAATCCGCCCTTTTAACGAGTTTGGTTGTTCTGGGGTTAAATCTTTGTTTCTAAAATTAGTTAAATCTTTGTAGTTCAATTTTCATTTCTAATTTAAATTCTGTTAATCTCTTCATTCAGGTTACTACAGAATTCTTATTATCATTCAGTGATCATTCGATCACATTTTTTATCTGTCATTCCTGACTGGAATCTTTTCACTTTACAATATAATTCAGAAATACCTAATTCCACGTAATTCAAGAATAACGCGATCTTCACTAAACAAAGCAACGTTCGATCTAGACACTAGGGTCTCCACAATTAGACAGCATCAAGACCTCCCTCTGCGTCTCATTTACATCTAAAAAATCATAACAATCACGATCCATTAAATTGTATCGTCAGTTTAAAATACGACAAAAGTATATGAAAATATCTTCAAGATTTCAGAAATTATTTCCCTAAACAAAATTGTTTACTTTTATGCTCCAAAGGGGTCGCTTATTTTTCGTTATATAACACTATAACAAATATACGGAAATTCTAAGTGGAAAATACAAAAAATCATAAGAAAAATCTGCCCATTCTCCAAAAGTTAATAATTCGGTACATAATGTCTTATCCACCATGGACACGTCTTCTTCCCGATTCAGCGCGCGAACGATCAACTGGTGGGAAACGTCCGTCAAATCGAGGATCGACGAGCGGTTCCGTTCCCGTTGCACTTTCTTTCTCCTTGAACTTGAAAAATTGCCCGGGCTCTCCATTTCGTATCAGCCTGGCCGAAGAAAGCGGGGTGCATCGATCGTCCCGTCGCCGGATGCTGTTTATGGCGCCGAAAACCGCCTGGGACACAGAGAAAGGACACCCCGGAGGGGCCGTGCACCTGAGGAAACGAACAGATGAACCGAGCCGCCGTTGCACGAGGACAGTCGAGGTGAAATAAGCGGGTAAGATAGAGAGAGAGTTCGAAAGTAGGCCTTCGTCGTTCAGTCAGTAGTCAACTGCGTCCCCAGACGATCGGTCGCCGTGATGGTAAGTTCTCGCCGGGTGTCATCGTTCCGACGTTTCTACGTCCTTGCGAAAAATCGACGATCCATGTTCGATGTCCACGAAAATTGCATCAAGGCGGAAAAATTGTAACGGTGTTGTCACGTGTCGTCGACGCGTGGTTTTTGGTAGAGAAGTGAATTTGTTCGTGGAGAGATAGGAAAGTTTAGTCTTGTCCGGTGGTGAGTAGCCTCGCAGTCACTTGGTTACGGGCGAAGGAAGAAAACGATTGAGACGTTAGTGACTCGAGAGATTTAATCACTGGGTAATTTGTACCGGGATCGTTGATTTGTCGTGACGCTCGTAACTGGTGGTGTTTCTCTGTGAAAGTAGAAATTGAGAATGTGGAGGAATTATAATGGGGTTTCGTGCGAGGACTTTTTCTTGGGATTGTGCGAATGGATTTTTTGAGGAGTGCTTGCGTCTGTATTATTTTGTATCTTGTGCTTTATTGGTCTGTTATTTATTTAACTGAATATAATTGCGGTATAATTCGTACTGCGTTTTTGTTTAGTGTGAAACAAGGGCGTTATAACTGTTATTATAAAAATTGATAGAAGAGTAGCGACTTCAAGAAATGAATAAGACAATCTAAATGCTTTTCGTTCGTGACAGTTTCTTCTGAAAATTAGTGCTTCGTTACATCTCAACGAGCATATGAAAATTAAGTATCTTAAAAATTGATCGAGGTTTAAACTGACAAAATAGTGATTCGAAGTAAGATCAAAATTTCGGAACGACGAAGTAATTTTTCAATCGACACCTCGGAAGTGGCACACGGATTGCAGAATCGTGGCGCGGTCCGCGTGAAACGGGTCACGTCGTCGAAGACGAAAGTGACTTTCGTTTTCGTGGATCGTTATCGTGAATCGTTCACCGTGTCCGACGTTCGCGGACGTTAAACATAATAACGGAACGATCACGAGCTAATAAAATCCGGATAAACTTCTTGTTCCTGTTTTCACCACGATAAAATTCGATTCGCGAAGACACGCTCGTTGTGGCTCTTCTAATCCAGGTTCCAAGTCAGCCGGAAAATAGCAGTAATTCCAAGTGGTCAGGACATTAATTTCAGTAAAATCGAATAGAAAGTCTTCCCCGACCATCCCCGGAAGACAGACACGGAATAAAGACCAGAGTACAAAACACGGCCAGTTTTGTAATTCGCGTTGTAGCATTATTGGTTACTTAATCTCTCGATCGATATTAGAATCGATTGGGGTCACGGGACTGAACAGCACGGCAGTACATACGTTGCAAAATGCAGCTACGATTGCAGTAATTTCCTTTTAATAATTATTTCGCGGCCGTAGTAACGGGTCTGTCAGGAAATCTTAGATATCACCGTCACGCGACTGTATTTCACGTCCTCCGGGGTCAGATCTTAATAATTTCTTCGCTGAAATGAAGATATAACCGCTTTGCAAAATTGAAATTTGCACTTTGCTTCGCTGGGGTCCTTTACCACGAACAAAAAAAAAAAGGAACATTCAGCACAGATAAACAAGCTGGACTTTCTCGTTCGGTCAATTCAGTCAAGGATACAACACGGGAACTGGTTAATGAATATGAAAGAGCCTAGATCGGTCTTTTCTAGATTTTCTGCCGGATAAGCGTTATGCATCTTACGCAAAACGACTGTCCTAAATCGGTTGGTCCTTGGCAGATCGATCTTTCATCGTGATAAATGTTTTTTTACAACTTCTGGTGAAGAACCTCCGGTGGATGTAAACCAATAAAAAGTTGTGAAAGATTGCATGTAATCATTCATCAACCTTGAGGATCTAGAAACGATTTTCTTTTTTACTGAAACGTGGATGGGTGAATCACACAGGTGACGCAAATTCGTGAGAATGAGGGTCAGATTTGCGTCGAGTGAATCGGAAGTAAACACGTAAAAATCGACGAAAGTGTCAGTGGGTCGTCGAAGATTCCGTTAGAATTTAGGCTAGGATGGTAACGATTATAGCTGTGACGTGTTTCCACTTTCACGGAATCTTGGGCTCTGAATTTATACCTCGATAAAATCTTCATTACCATAAATCATTCGATTACCGAGAAATAGGGTTAAACCTATCATGTATAACGATCACAATATTTTCAACGCCTGTGACAACATTATTTATAGATAGTTTCTGTAAAACAATATTCAAAGTACCTCCATAGCTTAGGTTAATACAAAAACACTTAAATTTTTTAAAATTGGACTTAGTAAATGTTTAAAAAAATAAGATAATATTACCGAAGAAAGAAATAGAAACTTAAATGCCTATTATCACTAAAATTCCAGTTAACTTAATACGAAACTGAAGAGTATGATTTACCAGTAAATTAGATTCCAGCTGTTCTCACAGCAGCCAATTCTGATGATTGTCTGTGCAGCTCGCGGTTTTCTGTCTGCTGCTCGTCCTCGGCCTAGGTCACTGCCAGGACAATGATCTCCCGTCGAAAATCGAGATCGAGAGCTCGATTAACCGCACGATCGAAGAAGTGGAACGTCAGCTTCGCGAAGACCCCAGACTGCCCAGGTTGACGCGTCAGGAGATAGTAAAGTTCCTTCAGAACATTACGTCTCAGGATATAAAGGGTCTCAAGGACAAAGAGCAGGTGGAGAAGGCTAGGAAGTTGTACCAGAGGGCGTTGATGGTTGTTCTGCCCTACAACGTCGAGGAATCGAATGAAAACTTGAATGATCTGTACACGAAGCCACCAATGGTCCAAATGATTCCAGATTTGTTAAAATCGGAAAACAAGGCTAAAATCAGCGACGACGAAAGCAGAAAGGAGGCTATTATCGATCTATCCACTTTATCCACTGCTGAGAATCTGGTACCAACTCGAAACTCCCATAAAACGATTTTGAAAGACCCACTATCCACCACCGCGAAGGGACAGTACAAAAATCACCGGGAGACTTACTCGGAAGTGCGTACGAAGGCACCTTTAAAGGAGACGCTGAAACTGGACACCGCACCGGTTAGGTTCACCTTCAACCTCGAGAATCTCCAGAAGAACGAGTTTACGACCGAGAAGACGACGACAACCAGGTATCCAGTTTACAGGAATAACGGGAATAAGCATTCGGATTTGGACATTGTCTACAGCACTAGCGTAACCGAGGAACCTACCACGAAGTCAGCGTCCAAGGAGATTACCATCGATCTAGGACAGTCTACGACTAATCATAATGTCCTGACATCGAATCAGTGGCGTTATTATGCACCACCGAGTACCACTTTGAAGCCAACCATGCCGTCCAAGTTCGACAAGGTCCCATTTTTGCCTACCATTAACGCAGACCCTGAAGATCCTTTTACCGAGATCTCCACCAGAAAATCAGAAGTAGTTTCTATGGATTCGAAGACTGCAGAAGCATTAGTTATGAACACCGAAAGGCCAACAGCTCTATTTGTGACACCTATGTCGACAGAAACGTCCCCTAAGGTGAAGTACAGTTCGACTTACTCTGTCCACTCTGCAGGATTTCGAGCATCCACGTCTACGACTACTACCACTACCACTTCGATGCCTATGAGACCCGAGGTGATGGATCTTTTGGCTTCTATCGGTCTGAGTCCAGATAATAGTAGCAATGTGGAGGATGTCTACAAGAAGAACAAGGACATTCTCGAGAATAAATCCCAAATTCTTGATACGAATGGTGTGATACCGGATACAGTATCGGGTCTAACTTCGACTGGTCCCAATCCCGTGTCGATTCTCAGTCAGAACACCTTCGAGAGTCCAGGCTCGCAGATAAAAAAAGGCGTGCAGAATCTCACGCCCGATGTACAGCTGCTGTTCCAGAGATTTGGTCTCCAATCCCCGAAACTTGACCAATCGACCACCACTACCGAGAAGACAATCATTAATTTCAATCAATACACAAACTTCAAGCCTCTGCCTACGTCCAGCGTGAAAGACCAAGGGATGAGGGAGTTCTTGGCGCGGTTTGGGTTAGGGGTCGGCGAGAGCAGGAGCCAGAAGTCGATGAAACATACGACGGAAACTCCCTCGATGATCGAGGTTGTTCCAGGTAACATGAAAGGCATCCTGGAGAACATGGGATTGATATCCAATTCTCGCAAGCCAACGAAATTTGCACCAAAGAAGACAGATGACATGGAGTCTACAGAGACGACCAAGTTCCACGTGTTCAAGCCGCACGAAGTGAACGTGGACGACGAAAAGCAAAGGATCAAGATCAACGAGCTCTTAGATACAGTAAAACTGGTCCAGGAAGGTAAAGTTGATATTCAGAATGTTAAAAAGGTGGCGAACGATTTGTTAGAGACCACCAAGACGCTGAAGGACGGACCTGATCCTCTGAAGCTGGAAGAGATCCTCAAGACATACAACGAAGACATCAGGAACGAGATTAAGAGGCAACAGGAGCCGGAGACCACCACTGCTGAGACGACCACGGAACAAACGACTCTACCTTCGATCGCTACGACTGGTATTAAGAAATTTCTGATATACCTTTTGGGAGGATCGGAGTTCTGGGTTAAGAGGATCATTCAGGGGCTAACCAAACTTCGGGATGCACTAACGAACATGTATAACAGATTCAGACGTGGATCTGGTTGACTCATTGGTAACTTTTGGGATCGTAAAATCTTGGCCTTGAACATCTATGTCTTTCTTTTTTTTCATTAGCCTTATGTTTCTCTTTCGTTCTAGCTTCGTGACCCTGAAACAACTGGAAGACGCAACTCAACGCTATCTTTTCTATTGACTCTTTCTCTTCATTACGTATATGCAATTTTCCTTTCCCGTGGAGTTTCACTTTCATAAGAAGACAAAGTTTACTTCTCTTAAATTAAAGAGATTGATATCAACTCGAGTCACTTTCTCCTCTTTTTACGTTCATCGCTAATAATGTGAAATAGACACCATTCAAGGCTCTTCCCAGGGTTTCTATCCGTGACTAACAGCCGTGTGGAAACCATTAACGCATTTTGTTCACACCTATCGCGTTCTATCTCCGCTTCATTGTATAATATCATCTCAAGGAGACTTGAATGCATGGGTTCAATCACCTTTCGATCGGTTTGTCTTTCGGTTCTGATATCTTTTCAAATGGGTTTCTGTACTGATCAATTAAAGCAGAGCGGTTTCGACAGTTCGAAAGATATTGAACAAACGGTTCGTGATGAAACTTGCCAACAGAGACGGCAGACGCGACGACAGATTCGGCGAAAGCGGCATCTGATCAAAATGGCGCCACCACGACACCTGCGGCTGGGGTGTCTTCGACGTCCACGAACCTGATGGCGTTGGAGGAGTCTTTTGGAGGGACGACCAGCGTGCCGGACACATCTTTGCCACCAAGAAGGAAGAGTGGTCTATACTTCCTGGTCGACTGGAACACGTTCCTCGAGGTTGGCGAGGACGACAAGGAGAAGATCAATCTGAGGTTCCAGCCGAAAGTTGGCGATCGGACGAGATTCCTGCCAGTGACTGTACCTTAACGTTTGACTATAGGGTCTTGCACAGAAAGGTGAAACTGATGTAATAATGGATACAGTAATAGGTAAATGTATTGCATAGAAGAAGTTTTGAATGAGTATTTCAAAAGTAGGGATATTTCATATTGTCAAATTGAAATTACAGTTACGACTTGGTGGTTTTTTATAGACTTACGGTATATGTTGTGCATGTAAAAAGTGTTGAACATGGGTATAATAGTTTTGTTTAAACGATAATGGTAATCGTTAAACTATATTCTATTTATCGCTCAATAATGTAATTTATTGGAATCAGTCGGCGTTAGGTATACTTAATTAGCGTAACTAGACTCGTTGGGAATTGATGTAGTGGTGGACATTATTTTAATAATATGTAAATAGAATACTGAGGTAAGGTCAGACCATAAATTCTTATATATATTTTTTTAGAATTCTGTGTTGTAACAAGGGTAATAGTTCGTTTATGATAAATTCGTGACACACTTTTCTCTGAGAAAAATAACGATACACAAGTATCTACGTGTGTACTATTACAGTAAGAACCAGCTTCTGTTGAAAAATGTTAAAAAATTTATAACTGATGTTGAACTATTAATACATTCGATACAAAATTACAAACGAATTTATGACTTAATGACACATCACCAAGAATTTATAAAAAATTATAATTAGGTGGGCGAATGTTTATGCATTTTTGGCACATTCGAGCCTGCGAAACGTTAAACTTTAATAAAGTCTATGTTCAGGAGATTGTTAATCCAATATTAACAGAAGAGACAGGTTTCTTATAAATTTCTAAATTGGCCTCTAAACGTCCGATTTTGCGTAAACATCTGCTATCCACTTATGATACAGAGTTATTTATATACCTGTTATTTGTAATTGTTTTGTACAAAGTGTTGAATAAAAACCTTTTTTTGCGAAGGGAACGGCCGGGCTAGCATTGTTTGACCCAGATACGTGTGAAAGTGTGCAATCAGCACATACGAAGTTGTACAAGACGATCAATTAATAAATTATTCAGGAAAGAAAGTACCATGTAAATTGAAAAATCAAACGGAAACCAATTAAAACTCATATCCACTACGATAACTAGGCTAAAGTTCTCAACGACACACAAACGTCCTGTAGCATGAGAATCACTGTACCTAATCCCTGTCCCAAAATATTTAGCTTCTATCATTTGAATGACACAAGCAGAATTTTACAAGTCAGTATACGAAGTGAAATGGTACCATCAAGCTCAGGCATCCGAATTTTGCTTTCCATTCTGTTTTCCGCGTGTGTGACCAAGTGTCTGGACTATGAAGATGCTGTAAAGAAACTGAACCAACCATTGGTGGATACCAAATCTCAACGAATTCCACGAGATTCTAAGGATGTTTCGTCAATCTGGTTGGATTACGAATTCAACTCTGGCGCCGGGAACAGAGAAGGTAATTCGTGTCTGTTAAACTAAAATCTAAAATTTATGTAACAAATAATTGAGTTTCTTTTATTATAGAACCCGTTGTCACGGATATTTCCATCAACGAATACTCAAAGATTCCTGAAAGAGGCTCTAATTGGCAATTCCTGGACGTAAATGGCACCGATTACTTGATCCATGTCGAGGAATCAATTCTTTCGTTCTACAAACTCGATCTCGATCACGCTTTGACCAACGATCCAGTAATCTTAAAGATCAATGGCGTGATAGTGAAGTATAAAGTGGTCGGTTTCAACAGTTTTCGAACGACGGTTAATCCGGTAGTAGACGTCGTGGCCGTTTTGTGCGTGGAATCGGATACCGGTACGTTGTTGCAATGGTACAGGCTTCTCGGTGACGGTTCTTTTCAATTTTTCTCGTCGTGGCCGGTCCAGAAGGGTGTGAAAGACATGGAATTCATTCAGCATGGAAATACGAACAAATTGTTGCTGCTGAGTGATAACGAGATGCGGTTGGGCAAACAGTATTCCCTTATCGATGTCTATGACATCAACATCGACTTTGCGACTAAAGCTTTCTCGTTCTGGTAATTAATATCCTTTTAACCCTTTTTTTTTTAAAGAAAGAAATTGATGTTCTTTTCCTCTGGTTGGTAAATGTGAACGCCTGATGCTATATTTGAAGAGTTTACTTCATACGATCTAAAAAACTTGAATATTTTAATATTAGGTTGTTGTGCATAATTAGAACAGCAGATAACATTTAGTCACAATCAATTAATTATACGAAATATCCGAAATTATTATTTATTATACCATAATAGAAATAAGATTGTTTTCCCTAGGCTTTGTCAGAGGAAACAGGTGCCAAAAGTATTCGACATCCAGGTCTGCCCGAATCACGAAAGCATTTCTCTGGCTCTTCAAGGCGTCCGCGATGTCATTCTTTACGAATTCAGAGATACCACTGTCAGTAGCGTCATCCATGAACTACAGACGATTAAATCACACGATCTGAAGAATTTCGTCTGCTTCGAGAGTGGATACTTGCAATTCCTGGCGATATCCGGACCGGAAGCTAGCCTCTTTCACTACTTCGAGGGTGAATTCCACTATAACACAGAATCAGAAGCCAGTTTTGGTAAGATTTCATTTGAATAGTCTGTACTCACACAGACATTTTCATTGTCTATATTCACGTTATTTCTGTCCCAGATGTATCAGAGATATCGTGGATCAAAGACGTCAAACTTAACACCTACAGGGACGAATCGTTGCTGCTCGTACAACTAAGGAATTATACGGTAATCGCTTTGGCCTGGCAAGGTCACAGCTTCAAAAGAATACAGCTACCAAACAACGTTCTCGATCAATTCGATCTGTCGATGGTCACTGTCATTCCCAAGTTTGGATTCGTCCTGGGAAATAAATTCGTGAAGCTTCACACCGAACTGAGGGACATAAGGCATCCGTCTCAACACAACATGGAGAGATTGTTGGGCTTGCAACATCTGTTGAATGCAAGTCCTTTATTTAATATAATATTCTAAATTATTTGAGATTCTATGAAAGTTCTAGTGATTTTATACCAATGAAAGTACCATTTTACTATTTTATGAAATTAGTTTTAAACTAATGAAAATACCTTTTTAGGATTATTGAAATTAACATTAAATTAATGATGGTACCTTTTCAGGACTCTCTGAAATTAACTTTAAATTAATAAAAGTACCTTTTTAAGATTCTTCGAAATTAAGCTTAAATTAATAAAAGTACCTTTTTAAGATTCTTTGAAATTAAGCGTAAATTAATGTAAGTATCTTTTTAGGAGTCTTTGAACTACCAAGAGAGGATTCTGGACGAGACGGAGGAACGCCTCGAGAAAAGTTACTTGAAGAATCCCGTGGTCACCGGATTTTGGAACATCAGCGCAATGAACGCAACAAACGCAGCTATAACTGACAATGTAACCTATCACTCGGTTATGGTCGGATCCACGAATTTAACTAGAGAGGATTTAGGCTTCAACGTAACCGCTTACACGGAAACTGTGCAGAATTTGGAACGGAAGCTCGATGAAATCGACTCGAATCTGAGAATCGCTGTGGATTCGAACACGACAGAGTTAGATTTCAACTCGAACGTTGAAGTGTTTGGAAATGTTGTCGTTAGTGGAAACTTGAACGTCCAAGAGTTCACTGCACAACTTATCAATGACGTCGATGCCTTGAATAAATTTCGATCACAAAACGAAGGTGTAACCGAGGGCACAAAGAGATTCTCTACAATAGAAGCTGAAAATCTAACTGTCCACTCGATAAATGGCGTACCGATAACGGATATTCATTTTAGAAGTTCGTTGGAGAATTATCGTGGAATAGATTTTTCGAAAATAAATCGAGCGAAAGTGGAGGGACACCTTTCCTTCGAAATGATTAATGGCGTCGTGTGGGAAGAGCTGATGAAGAACGTTGTGTGGAAAAATAAGAACATGATTATCCCTGGAAATACTATTATTGAAGGGGTAATGTTTAAAAATTGTTCTGAGTGGAGATTATTAAAATTTCCATTTTTTAGATCATTATGCAAACACCAGAAGTCAAAGAAAGACTTATTTCAATAATTAAAGGCTTCATTAAGTCAGACGTGTAATAAATATTTACAGTTTTTTATTTATAGCCTTTTTGTACGATCCTATGAGCAGGGTTTGAATTAAATCTGCAGTTTAGTTATTGATTGATAGAAAATTTACGATGTATCTTGTCTATGGCTTCACAGAATCAATTGTGTAAAATAATTCCATAAAATTAATAATTTCAGACACTGATCGCCGACACTGTAGAGTTAGACACGTTGAACGATCTTTACTACCCAGATGACTATGTTTTGATTGACGATGACACTTCATCAAAAGTGATTGGCTCAAAGTCGTTTAACCAGCTGATAGTAACAAATCTGAAGGGTGTTAAAACAATAAACGGTATAAGCATCGATGATTTTGTAATTTTGCACAAGGACAACGTATTAAACGAAGAAATTACTTTCGATAATTTGGAAATCGAAGGTTCCTTCCAGGTAAATTTCTGAAACTTTTGATATAAGTTTTCACGTGGAATTTCATATATTATTTACAATTACAGATCGATGGAGACATACGGGGTATAGAGAGGAAAGAAGTTAAATTGTTAAACGAGACTTCCGGAGTTCCGTCTTTCATTATCCTTTCGAACTTGACGGTATTGGGAAATGTTATATTCGACAAATTATTCCTGAATAAGCGTCCGTTGAATTTCGAGGATCTGTTGCTAAAAACCGACGAAAATGTCAAAATAACTGGAACTAAAACATTTTTGGGCAATGTTGGAATGAAGTCTGACGTAGCAATCACGTCTGGCATGATTAATGGACACGCGATGAAGGAGTTCGTAACTTTGGACACGGATCAGGAATTTCCCAGTAATAATTCATCCTTTCGACGAATTAAGTCGCGTAAAATAATTGATATATATATATTGAAGATGTTAATTGAAAGAGTTGTTTTGCAGATTTAACAAAAATATTATCGAACGTAACATTTGGAAATGTCACGTATGGATCCATAAAACGGCTTGAAAGTGTTCTAAACAAGGCTTCAACAGATGCCCATTGTATGAGAAAAACAGTTGTGTTTAAATCACCGATCACTGTGGACGATTTATCATTCGATTACATAAACAATGCTTCGGTCGAAGAATTTTCGAGCAAGTTTAACGACACTATCCAGAACATTATTATCAAAGATCTTGAAACCGAAACCTTAACGGCGGAAGAAATAGTGCCTAGAGTCATCAATGGCGTCGATTTCGCGAATTTCACTAAAAGTTTGTCATCTTCCGGTAGCATAACCGAATATTCTATCGATAATCTGGAAACCGAAAATCTAAATGTGAAATTAATGAATGGAATGTCTTTGGACGAAATTAATAACCTGAGAGATCGTTTGGACACATTGCTGGAAGATATTCTTAAGAAAAATGCGATTTTGGCGTCTCTACACGTGACAGGAAAGATCGATGCCAGTTTGATCAATGGAAAACTCCTGAAAGATGTATATAAAGCCGATCAGATGGGGTCTGTGATCTTTAAGAAAGACGTTCACATCGAAAACTTGACGATCCGTGGATCATTGAATGGCTTCAATTTTTCTGAACGTGTTAACGATACGGTGTTGAAAACCGACAGAAACATTGAAGTTACAGGACATAAAATATTTGATGTTATTAATTGTCATGAATTCCAGACGGTTTCTTTGAACGAACACTCATTGAAGAATATTTTAGATCCTTCTAGAGAACAGGTGCTAACGGGTCCTGTCGTTGTAAATGGTAAATGGTAATGACTGTATATTATAAATCAAATCTTGAATTAAAGGTCAAAATGGTCCGGAAAGTAAGATCCAACACTTTCCGGGATTTTATTGAATATTCTTTTGTTTTTCTATTTTAGAAATATCTTACCAATATTTCTAAACGATTATAATTATAATAGTTAATTCGATTTTCGAACGTTTTAAGGATCCGTAACAGTCCTCGAGAAGTTCAACGCAACCGGAAGCATAGGCGACATACCTTTCCAAAATCTGATGGACAAATTGAAGCCTCTGGGGAACAACACCTACGAACTTCGTGGAACCGTTCTATTCTCGAAAAACGTGACCATTGAAAATCTGTTCGTAAACGGTTTTATCCAGGGAATAGACTTCGATGATTTCTTGGGGACGACAATTTCGAAGCACGAGGACAACGTCACCATTTCCGGTGTAAAAGTGTTCCACGGTTCAGTTACCATTAACGATTCGTTTTCCGTGGATGAAAAATTGAACGGGATCGATCTGAAGAAGTTCTGGGACTGCGCTGTTTTTATCGATAAACCGTTTTTCATTAAGTCGAGGGTTGTCTTCAAAGAAGATGTCGAAGTTAAAAAAGACCTGATTGTTAAAACGGACTTGCAAGCGAAATCTATTATGGGAATCGATATAGACGAGTTGAAACTGACTGTACTCTATTTAAACAGGCCTACTTATGTCAAAGGTAATTTCCGTTGGTCTTGTATTTTATTATTTAAGGTTTTATGATAAAAACACTTGAGTTCATTTGCAGAGAATATCACGCTCACTGACGCGATCTTCGAGTCGGACATAGAAGTGGCGATGTTCAACGATTTTGACATGAGATTACTGATATCACTGAAGTCGGAACAAATTCTACCTGTCGAGGTCCTTAGATGTCGAAACGTCACTGTCGAGAACTTGAAAGTTCTAGGAATGATTAACGAGCAGAACTTGAACAACATTCAAAAGACTACATTCATGGTATGTTATTTTATAAAAACGAACGAGGAATAAAATTTTAATTATTCTTGTTGAAACTTGAAGAAGTGATATTTTTGTGTTCTCCAGGTGACTGGTAATCAGAATATTACAGGAAATATCAATTTCACGGGACAAGTTCACGCCCGTCGTGGTTTCAACGCGCGCCGCATCAATGGTATCGATCCAACCAGGATCATTTCCTTGAATTCAAAAGGTGTACTGACTGGTGAGTCTCTACGACCAACATTAATCGATTATTTAACGCAAAGTTGCTTTATCAGAAGTGTGACATTTCAGGGAACTACGTATTCGAGAAACCAATCGTCTTCAATCAGAGTCTCCGTGTTTTGGGCTACTTGAATGGTATAGATCCACATCGATGGGAAGCTGTGGCTGTGACGACGAACAATTCCTTCCAGCAAATTATCTCTGGAAGATGGACGATAAATGGTAGCGTCCATTTCGAGAACGGAGCATCAGGAAGCAATATTTTGAATGGTACGAGTATCAGCGATCTGGCGGCCATTTTAGGGCAGAGACACTTGGAGATGGACGCCTTGATGACGGAGACAAGTGTACGACAATTTTCTGTACAACAATACTATTGTGAAATAATTTCGTCTGGCAATGAAATGTGTCGAAACATGAAACTGGTAACTTTATCTGCATCCAACTGTAAATGTTTTTTACAGGAAAATCTGAGGAGCATTTGCGAAGACCTGACTCACCTGAAGCACTACGCGGAGAAGCAGTTGTACAGGTTCAACTCGTTCGACTATCTGCAGATCATCGAGTACGACAACCTCATCGTCAGCCTCCATCATTTCGAGTTGGATGACTTGGACTATCTGACGATGAGCTACAACACCTGTCAAATGCACGTGTACCTGTACAACGGAAAGAAATTCGTGCAGTCCGCGAACATACCCGATTTCGGTGTCGTTGATGGATGGACTACGTATAGGCACGATGGCGCCCTCTACTTTCTTACCAAGGGCGCTAAATCCTGCGGGAGGAGCTCGACGAACTTATGGAAACTCGAAAACGACCAGTTTACCGTGAGACATTAGCTATCAACAGAACTGGAGAATCATTCGATTTAGGAATGTAGACCAAAAGGCTCTTCTTAGGATGATTAATGGAAAGGATGAGAAACGATCCTTGGAAGGTGTTAACCAGGAGAAAGCTCAGTTGTCTCTGGCAGACGATGATGCTGTGAAAACAGTTCTGCAGGATGGTCATCCGCTGTTTACTGGTAGACAGAGGACTTACGAGCATAATGTCCGTCAGACGAACAATGCAAGCTTGGGAATGCTGTTTGGAAATCCTGTGAAACTGAACTTCAAGGCGGGAATATTCAACAGGGAGATGTTTTTGGATTATAATGAGGACACTAGCAAGGATCGAATATTTGTAAGTTAAATTTTAGGACAGTGATTGATGGATGATGGTAATCGGTGTCAATTATACTACATTCCTACATCAGTATCGAGAGATATTTGGTCAGATACTTCTTGTGGCTCTGATCTCTATTGGTCAAACAATTGGAAATTGGGATGAGAAATAATATCGACTTCCTAGATTCTTAGATCATGGAAACTCTCTATAATTAATGTCTAATTTATTCGTATGTATTTTCTTAGATTTTTAACAATGCAGATGGAAGGATCTTGCAAACCATAAAAGCCCATAGGCCGTCGTCGTTTGCAGTTCTTAATTTCGATGGAAACATAGAGACACTCTTGGTCTTCGTAGAAAATAGAAGGAATCTTCGAATTTACGAGTACAAAGGTATCCCAATTATTTTAATATGTTTTACTGATGCTTAAATCTTTCATGTTTAATATATATGCTGTTATTTCTTCAGGAATTCAAGGTTTCATGTATAGAGACAGTATCAGAATGGACATCGATAAATTATACACTTTCAAAATTCGAAAATATCCTGATCTAGCGAAGCGGTACTGTCTCGCCTTGATCCACGAGAATCGATTAACGATCCTCGAGGCTAATATGTATGGCGAGAAAGTTGATATGGAACCGTTAACGTGTTTGAAACATTAAAATTTAATTAACCGCGATTTAAAATAAATTAATATTAAAAGTATCGATAAAATTAGGAATATATTTGTATTTATAACTACATGCAAGAAGATTTCTACAAGTTATTTATACACTTTTTAATTATTCTTTTTGTAAATAATTACGAATGCAGCTTCAGTATAAATTAATACTGTACAATTGTTTCTAATTATGATAATCTTTATAGTACTGTTTGAATGAGGAGCTTGTTAATAAATGCCACCAGATCGTTTCGCCTTGTAAAAGGCAATGATTTCTTCGTCGATTTCAGGATCACCTGTCAGAGGCAGGGAGTCTTCGAAACTGTCATTATTTCCATTGTATTCTGTCTTCGCGTCGAACCCTTCCTTCTCGACCCTTCTTCTTCCGCTAATGATATTCGATTTTTCGGGCCATTCGGCCGTGAAGCTACAGACACTCGACTTCCTTCCACTTCTTTTACTTCTATTACTCTCGATTTCACTGTTGGCAAGGAAAATATTACTTCTCGTTGACTGAACTCTAATATCCTCCTTCTCGTTGCAAATATTGTTTATCTCGATAGGTTCTACGTGTCTTTGTGACATAACATCGTCAACGTGTCTTTTGCCATTTTGTAAATGAGAATAGGAAGAACTTGATCTCGAAGAAATTGCTAGATCCATATTATTATTGTCAACGATAGGTGTTTCGAATTCTTTTTTAATACCGAGATTATCTGATTGTATTTCAGTTCGAGGCACATTGAAATACAATGTTTTCTGATAAAATGAAATTGAGTGATCCTGTTCATTAATATCTTCGGTTATAATATTTTGTGATGCAGTTTTACGATTTGTATTGCATTCTTCGTTAATTGTAAGTTCTGTCTGTGAATTGTGTCTCGACCGAATATTCCTCTTTGTTGCAGGTTTAATATCGCCATGTCTGATTTGTTTCTTCTCAGACTTACGCAAGGACTGCTGATTTTCTTCTTGACCGATCGATTTGTCCTTATCTTCCGTTGAATTAGGCATGGTTAAGTTGACAACGTTGCAATTTAACAATTCTGGCTTCAGATTCTCCGTAGAAATTTTTCTTATCATTGAAATTTGTTCAAGAGAATTCTTTCGACTTACAATTTTCGCGATATTATTGGTAGCAGCATTTACACCGTTGTTAACATCGTTCTTATTACAATTGGTTCTACTTTCATCAATATTGATACTCTGCAGATTATTCTCGATGTGATTCAGAAGCACAGATTTAGAATCTTTAAGTTTCTTCTTGTGCTTTTTTGGAAGAATATGATTGGATGTTGAAATTATTTTGTCGCCAAGAACATTGGCAATAGTAGATGATGTATTAACGTTCGTAAGTGTATTTTCAGCATTTTTCGTTCGATTTTCTAGGACAGTTGTTAACAAGCATCGATTACTTGTTGGTTGAATCATTTCCAGGCCTGTTTAAATTAAGTCCATTGTCATGTTAATAAAATAATTTATAGTACATAACTTGTATCAGAAATTTTCAATTACATGGCTCTCCAATAGATTCTGTGCACAATTTAATTCCTTCAGAATCTCCATTTCGTGTCCTCGATTTATCAGTTAATTTTGTGTTACTTTCTCCGTCACCAGTTAATCCTATTAAAAATTGATTTCATAATAATTAAGAAATTAACAGAAATGAACCAACTTGAATACTTGATTCGTCGCAAGAACCTTCTTTCAGGTTGCACTGTTGTTTTCCTCTCTCCTTCTTCAGCAGATCGATCAGCAATGCTATTTTCATCTCAGGAAGCTATTATATAAGTACTGAATCTTTCACAAATAATTTGTTATGATTTTCAAGAAAGTATAATTGAAAATTGAAAATTATAACACTAGTGACAAGGATACAAATTTCCTTATCTCTCTGGAGAACCATATCCTTGTAATATTCCATCTTCTTCAAGCAACTGTTCGGGTCTCTACACAACTGGACGGTCCTTTTAAAGTTATCGAAGCAGTAATCGATACTCTTCGGACTATAATCCCAGCAGATCTTCGTATTCGATTCTAAGAAATTTCTAATTTGAGAATCCAGCTTCCATTTGATCTCAGCTGAAAGTTCTTGAGACTCCTGTACATGTTACAACAAAACAAATTAATATTCAGTGTAGAACATTAATTATTCACGATGAAGTATACTGGAAAAATTTACAGTTTGTCCTGTCAGGGTTCTAATGTGTTGCTTCAGTCTCTCGTTCTCCAATTTCAGCAATGCGTTCTCGCTTTGAATGCTCGTCTCGAGGACCAACCTCACGTCGTTCTTAATCAGAGCCACCCTTTGGGCGAATCTGCACGTGGAAATTGTTTCCTGACGACGATAAATAGAAATCGTAAACTCTTATTTAATAGAATAAACCAGGAGAATTTATTCTGCACCTCCATATTTGAAGACGCGAGGCTCAATGTAGCCAACATGGTGGTCATGCAGTTTCCGCCCAGACTATCCCTTAAGATCGACGTCAAGTAAGAATTTCTGTACAGAAAAAAACATTAATAATTCCAACTATAGATAATAGCAACAATAAAATGACGACTTTGATAACCCTCGTGCATTCTTCAAGAAGCTAGTACTATGCTGCTGCTTAATCCTTTAACGCCCACGCCCTTAAATCGTTATTTCAAACTTATGAGACTAATATATATGCTGCATCTTGTTTTTTTGAAGTCCAAAATATCGACATTAAACCATCCTATTTATTTTTATTTTTAACTCTTTCTTTTGAAATCGAACTAAAGTTGAAATTATATCTCGAAAATCTATTCATTTACTGCTATAGTGCAAAATAGGCTAAATAATAATGTCAAGTTAATACCTACGATTTTGAAATAAAAAAACACAACTAAAAATTAAACTTCTATTTCGGAGCAAATTGCTACGAACTGTGCAGAAGGGTTAATCAATCTCGCTTTGTATTACGAAATCTTATTTCTTATAGATTCATCAGATTCACAGATCATAAGGATCAAGGACCACAAACAAGCCTGTCGAACGTGTCGAGCGATCGCAGCACCTGTACGGAATGTGACCCGCGGTCTCCTGACCCAGACACACTATGACTTGCTCCAGGTAATGTAGGCTCAGGTTAATGTGCTTCGCCTCGGTCAGAATGGTGCCAGTTATCGAGCATTTGTAGACCCGTTCGGACCTATAGAAAGATCCCCCTGTGTTAAAAGTCTCCGTGTTCCGTTACAAAAATTTGCAAGAAAAGAAAAAATGGCGGGCTGACAAGTGGGTCGAGACGGTGATGCAACGTGCAACGAGTATTTGTCCCGACGAATGCTTGTCAACGAGTTTATTCCGATAGCGTGGAAACATCAAAAGTCAACGGCTGATTAAAGTTCGTTTGGCTATCTTGATCGGCATAACATATTGCCTGCGATCAGACGTTGGTTCTGGACAAAAAAAAGTTGCTGGAAGTATGCGCATACCGATCGTATTTGGTTCCTGGGAAAGTTATGTCGTTCCTCTGGTGGGATTTTTTACGGCGAAGCATTGGGAATGAATTGTGGGACTGATTGTAATCTTGGGTCACTTTTCTATTTTTTTTTTTTTTTATTATTCCGTTCATTCATTTCTATATTTATATGTATCACTCGTAATTTAGGTTCATTTGAAAAATTTACTTTTTCTATTCATTATAGAAAATCAAAGTGTAGAATTTTTTATTTAAAAAGTTTAATTAACTAACTGTGAAAGGAGTGAAATATCGTCACAGAGAATAACACTCGTGTCCTTTATATCACTGTGTAAATAAACACGTCTTGCTAGTTAGAACGCAGCCAAGAATGGTTAAAATCGAGACGTTAATTGCGAGGTAATTAGCAACTTGATCAACGCCTGATTAAGATGCTCCGTTGGAACGATCTGTACAGTGGGTTGTCCACACTCAGGGACCAAATGTCTGTTTCTTAGAACCTGTCACCTTTGTACCTTCAGTCGATACAAGACTGGCGCAGATATACGAACCCAGCTAGGTCCACCAGGTGTACTTTCACCCGCTTATAGCGATCAGCGCCGAACTCCTTCATGGAAAGAATGATGGTAAAGATGCAGTGAGATCTTGATGACTGGGGGTTCATTGGGGTCTCCGTGGTAACTCTGTAAAAGTATTTGTTATCTAATTTTTTCTGTCTCCTTTACTTACTAATTGAACTAAACAATTTTATTAAATGAATGCAGCCTTTATTAAAATATCAAGTAGAATAACTGAATGATAAATTCTTTGTGTAGTAAAATGTTTATTTATCTCTTCCACATTATTTCTGATTATCAGTATAAAAAATAGTGTCTAGAAATTCAACAGAAATCAATCCTTGACTTATAATATACACTTTCGATATAGAAATTTATTTTTCAATCTAAATGAAAATAGACAGTTTCAAATTATTTTACCGATTGTTATCGCCCACCAGCAACAGCTCGAAGGCATCCTCCAAGCATCCGACTCCGTGAAACGTAAGATTCTTCAAGTGTAGCTGACCGTTCTCGTCTTCCTGGATGGTGACTCGTCTGAAACGCATCAGGGAAATCGTTAAACGATTTCTTTCACGTCGAAGCAAGTAACTGGCCGTCGATCGGCCTCGGGACTAGCGTGCAAACGATGCGATCAGAAAGTTCGCGAATTACGTAAAACGTATTACCGGCTGATTAATCGGGACTTCCGCTGTCAGTGGTCAGGAAAATGCTGATTGACTGACTCTCCGCTGGGAAAAATGTATTCGCGTTTAAACGAGACGGCTGTCGGTGTCCCTCGAGCCGATTGACTGGCGTTAGGTAACGTATTAAACCCGATTCTGATCATTTCTATAAAATTCTTCTGTCTTTGTAACGCCGAACGGTGAACGGACGGAAAGAATTGCGTGTTTTATTATACTTTTAACAGAAGGTGCATTGCAATGGTCACTCGGAGTAAAACCGGACGCGACAGAGTTCCGCATTAGTGTAAAGAAATCAGGATCGCCGACGGGTACTAAACGGGAACCTGTTGTATTCAAAAGAATTGGTTTAATTTCAGGGTTGATCTAACTATCCATTAGACAAGGCTAGCAAAGTGATCTTAAGTAGATGAAACTACGTTTGAGAAAGGGAATTTGTACGACTTACAATTAGAAAAGAAGTAAGAATGAGGAAAGGGAAAAAGTCTGAATTGGTAGGGTTTTCTTTCGATACTATAAGTCCTCACAAAAGGTACCGCAATGAAAGTGTTAAACCTTTAACGTCTAAACCCGAAACTTGTTATTTCAAAATTATTATCTTGTTATTTTTAAATCGAAAATATCGGCATTAAACCAACCTACTTTTAATGATTTTTTTTATTTATTTTAACGCTTTAACGCTCAAACGCCTCTTCCGGAGAAAAATTATTTTTCGCGTTTAGTTAACTTAAAAAAACCCCGAAAATATGCCCTTTGAAGTGACGGACGTCACACTGGGCCTTAACAGGTTAAAGTAATGTAGCTGGATAGGAGTCTATGAATCTCCATATCCCCTAATATCCTATCTGCAAGAAAATTGGGCATACATTACAATCCAGTTTCAAAACAGAATATCGTCTGAAGAAGAACCCAATTCTAATCTTCTTCTCATCGTCTTCCTGAATCTCGAAGACTCTGTCTACCAAGGTGTACCAACTTCAAATATCCTACCCTTCGCAAAACCCTTCCAGAACTATAACTCTAAAATTTATGGAACTCAAAATCAGTGAAAATCTAATTACAACAACGACTTTTGAGTTCAGTCAAGGTAGACACACTATTGTTCAAAAACTTCCATTCTATGGTGTCTTTGAGGCCCTAATTCGAATGAATTGAACCAATTAGCCAGAATGTGCACTATATATATTTTACACCCTTCTTCCGCGACTTTTTCGATAATTCCACAATAACTCAATTAATAGAATCCACACTTTCCATTAGCCAGTGACGAAAGGCACGCGGCAAGAAACGAGGAAGGAATAAAGGTGACGCGGTTGCACCTTGCGCGCGCTCGTGTTCCATATTTGAGCCCGATCGGAATCGCGACGGGATCGTTCGGCCCGAGCCTAACCCGGCCCAGGTTGTAGTTTCCGTTAAAGGACGGTGCCGCCGGTTTTTTTTTACGAAATCCGCGGGTATCCGCGTCCGCGGAGCCTCGAGGGGCCGCCATTTACGTCAGCCCCGGGACTTACGGTAAATCTTCCAATCTCGTAACCGCGAACTCTCGTTGCCTCCTGTCCAACAGGTCGTAGCCGTTCTCGTTGTAGATCTCCAGAAAAGCCACCTCGACGGTGTACACGTTCTCCGGCCGCTGCGCGGAAATATAAGGTGCGTACAAAGTGTGTGTTTCTGTTTGAGATTCACGGGTGGCAAAAATTGTTCACCTTTTGAATGACGTCGAACAGGTACTGCAAGCACCTCGGTATGATGCCGCGGACTCCTCGATGACCGATTATCGAGTACGTCTTCCCACTGGCCGTCTGAGAAGTTTTAGTTACTAAAATTGATGGTTGTGAAACTGTTTCGGGGAATATGGTGGAAAAGAAATGGACGAAAGTGTGGAATAAGTTGGGAAGAATGTTTTAGTGAATGGAACTGGTTAGGATTATTACTGGAGCATGATTTAGGTGAGGAATATTTCAGGTCTCGATTTATAGGGCTCAGGTTTCAGTGAGGAATTAAAGGAACATGTACGTGGTGGTAATTATGATAGTGGTGTAAGTTATGTATTTTTTGTTTCGAACATTCTTTCGTAATATTGATAACAGCTAGATCAAAATAAGATAACAGCTAAATTTTTTTGGTTTTTTTTGACTTACATCATTGTCATAACTACAGAGATATATTGAATATGTCTGGTATTAATATTGCATTTCACTTGGGAATAAGAAAATTTTAACGTGTGGTATGTAGGAATGATAGAAGAATTTTTATTGCCTCAAAAAGTTCATTTTTGTTAGTGACAATAGAAGCAAGACCTACCTAAAGATAGTCGTGTGAATGTAAATAATTGAGAGAGTTATACTCGAAGAAGATCGAGCGATCATTCAAGGCTATCTCCATCAGTGTAACTTCACATCTCTATTGATTTACTAAGAATAGCCTTTCAATAGCCTTAAACAATCACTTAATTTAACTTCGAAATACCAGAAAAAGGTCTCAGCAGTTTTCTAACGATATTTTGTATTAACGTTTACCTGACCGTAGGCGAAAATGGTCCCGTTGTATCCGTCCAGGGCGCTTTAACAAACGAAATCGCACGACTGCGAATGAACGATCGAGGGGAGTGGCGTGTATTTTGTAGTAATTAAACGAACGATACGGTTCCTTTTACCTTTCCATCACCGGCTGCGCCACGTTCTCGAACACATCCTCCTGCGACGAGGATTCATCGAATATCCGGAAGAAACTGAAAGTTTCGAGGGTTTCGTAAATGGAATGCTTGTCAAACTGATCGATTCCGTGAATATCTTACGAGTAATTCCAGGACTCTGGACGATTGTCGGGATAGTCCTTCGTTTTTTGCGTCGGGGAATTGAGGGTCAAGTAATCTTCTTCTAAATTTTCCCTCGGTCGACGATACACTTTGTAATCCTGTAAACGATATTATATTGGTTTCGATATAGAAACAAATTTGGGTTAACGTATTATTAAACGCGAATTTATATACAAATATGTTCTTCCGATTCTGTTCGGGTCTCAGTCTAGCGTACACTTTGATCGCATTCTTAACCATTTTGGATCGTATAACCTGTCCAGCTACTACGAGGTACGAAATTGCGGTTATTAATCGACGACAGACGATCGATTATCGCCACTTTCGAAATGAATGGATCTCGTTCCATCAATGACAGAAGATTTCTAAATGGCAGGTGGTAATTGCTCGACGTGGATCGTCAGGTGGGTGAAATTAGTGGAACTATATTCTATTTATATATATGACGGGAATGACGTGGGCGATTTATAATTAGTACGATATGATTCTATTTTCGTTGTATAAACTTACATGCCAACGGAGGATTAAAGAATATTTAATTGGATTTTCAGTTGACAGTTTAAAAAATATCAAAGTATTATTAAAAGCAAAATAAATAGAACTGAATCTTGGTCCTTTTATGTGGCAGGTATTTCTAACCTTATCAACTTTTTCGATACGATCGCCAACTTTAATTGACGCTTACGTACGTTCACTTGCATGTCTGCTATACCGAAAAAGCTAAAAAATAAATTTCTAGGTTTCATACTTCTCGACTTTGACTAAAATTCTTTCTTTATTATGTTGTGTAAAATAATTACGATTTTTCTTCATTGTTCACAATATAATATAAAAATCCATATTACTTATCAGTTTAAATATATTTACTAAAATAATATCTAAACATACTAAAAATATTTTTTTTGATAACGAAACCTCGACCTTTCAAGATCCATTAGTGCTCTCATCTATAATATCTTACTCCTAATTAGTACACCTTAAAATATTAATCAGTATGTACTTAGAAAACAACAATTTTAAAATTTTTACAAGCTAGTCTGATTACTTCCATTCAGATTCTTTGGTACAAGTATGTATTCTAGCAAAATAATCTTAAAATCGTTCTAACCTTGCTCCACTTTATAGATTATTTACTTATATCTAAATCATAATATCACATGCCACGCAAAAGGCATTGATCATAATATTGGGACCTTTGAATAAAAAATATACCCTAAACCGTAAATGAAAAATATTTCCTATTCTATGAGTCGATAAACCGCAACGACATTGAATATCGCGTAAGCTCGATATGATCGCAGAAAAAATAAAACCACACAGATTCCTCCCTCTCGACATCTCGATATCTCGAGCAGCGTCGCGGGTGCATGTTCGATTGATCGATCCACCCTTCGCCGCGAGGAGGAAGAGGAGGCTGAGGAGAGCGAGAGGTCGCGGTCGCCTAGGCGACGACGTCGTCGACGTCGCGACGTCGGCGCAGTGCGTCGCCGCGTTGGCAGAGCCGCGCCGGGTCGTCGGTCTACCCGATGGCAGGCCAGTGTCCCGACTTTTCTCGGCTTTCGCGTTCTCCCGTCTGGCATACTCGCGTTCCTCGACGTCACACCGACGCCGTTGTCGTCGTCGTCGTGGTCACACGTAAACGTCGCGGCGACGAGAGCACAAGAACAGGATCGAAACGATTCCACGGGGTGTCGATCGATGCTACGTCGTCGGTTTGATCGTTCGTCGCCGTAGACGATAATTAACCGTGTCCCCACTCTCTGTTTCGTTGGTACTTCGTTCCCTGACCAAGTGTACCGGTGAATATTCACCCTGATCGAGTGGTTTTCGACGTGACCAACGCCTATCGTCGACGGTTATTATCGGGGGATAGTCTTCGATGATCATCCCTGGACAACAATCATTGATGTAGCTCGAGAGGTTTTTTGGAATATTTTGAATATTCTTTGAAGAATTCTGAGGTGGATGGTCAAACTGGGACACCGTTGGCACAGGAAGTTGCCAGAAGACATGCCTGTCAACCTCGAGAACACCGCCGCGTGAGAAGCTGCCGGGACATGTGCCTTTTGGTCTTCTATTGATCGGCGCGTCCCGACGCGGCCACCGGATCTGGACGTTTCGGGAATCGCGGACTGCCAGGCTCTGGTAAAGTATTTCACGAAACCCTTTCAGTCTATCCTAGAACAGAATTTATAAATGAACGATAATACAATAGCACACTGAATTATTACTACATTCCTTTTTCGTTTGGTCGATGCACTTTGGGTGACACTGTTGCTCTGTAATCGATGGTACACCGAATTCGACATTACGCTGTACCACTACTATCTACATTCTAAATATCATAGAAATACCTCGACGAAAGGAAGACGAATATACTAGCTGTTAGGAATAATGTCCATAAAATGGTACCTCAATATTCATCTTGTTGATGTAACGCCAATAAATCCTCGGGAAGTACTCTTCGCTCCATAAATATGTTACGCGATCGGTGTAAGTACAATAGAGACTAGCAATGATCGTTCCGTTTCATTGCATCCCAGTAAATCAGGGGCATTAAAGATCTCGATGGGTCTAGGATCGAGCAGAGATCAAGATTCAGAGTGAAACTCTAAAGGTACGAAGAATTCGAGAGGGGTCAGACGTCTGGACGTGAACAGTGGAAAGGAGCACGATATTCCGCGGAGCTGAGGCCGGTGAATAGCTGGAATTACGTAACGATGATTGACGGTTTCTTAATTCGCGAGCTGGAACGACTGTGCGCCGGGTTCGATCATCGTGAGATTAGTCGGGACAGATGATAGTCTCAGGATCAGGGTCACGTGGAGAGATACGCTATTTTCTCTGATGATTTCCGAATATGTCGTTCTTCCCTGACGCTAATAAGGGTCACAAGAGTCGCGGTGACGTGACAGATTGTTAATGTTATATGACGGAGGGACGTGGGAATCTATGTCAATGACTATGAGAACGCCATTGACGTTTCGTGATGTACGGTTATAGCACTTGTTGACAGGATTTTTACATATTTTATCGTATTGTCGATTTTAAGCAGTTTTTCGGAATTGTTTAGTGAAAGCAATGGGACAGGGATATTCTTTAATTAAGTTAAGTAATAATTAGGTCTGTTGCGAGGTAACGCAGGTAGGCGATGGTCGCGTCTTGGCCCGTCAATACGGTCAGTAAACCGTCATAAATAAGGGGATTACTTGGACAGCTGCACATCACGTGCAAAAACGTTCACTGTCCTGAGACCATTTCTTTATTGTATTTCGGCGATGACTTCCTGGAATCCTAGAAACAATACATACTCTGAGCCCCATTTCTTCTACCTCATAATACCACTGATTATATAATATATGTACATATATACACGAACCGAAAATTTGAATTTTCCACCAATCACAAGTCAATCCCTTGTAACAAGCGTCATAGAACCACCAGTCAGAAACTCAGAACACATTCAACTGTCAGCAAGAACACATCTCTCATTGAGAATTATTAAGTTTGTATTAAAGTTCAAGTGCGTTTCGCTGTAGTGTTAAATTGTTCAAATTACACACCACCATACACCATCACACCAACTTCCAACGAGCTCTGCGGTATTAATTCATGAACGAGCAGTGGCAAATCCCAGAGTGCACCGCAGCAACGTCGATTATTTCGTGTATAGTGACATAAAAGTATTCAACTCTGCAGGAAGTATTCGTCAGTGAATAATAACAGTCTCCACTTGAATCACAATTCGTCAACGAGATCATTCAGGAAGAATTGTAGATTATATTTAAACAATTTTTCTGCAATATGAAAGTAAAACAGTCTTCAGGTTCGTTTTGAAAACTTAGTTTCAATCTATTATAATCGATCTCGAAGACAAGTCTCCGTCCAAAAACAATAACAGACCACAGTCTCGTAATTCTTCTAGAAGATAAATCATAAAATAATTTAGCAGCCAGTCTGAATGGCGATTTCATCGTGCAAGAATAAACAAAAAAAAAAATTACGAATGTGTGCCTACACGCTGGAATCCCCGATATCGCGCGCGAATACAAATCGGAACGGTGCTTCGTAGTTCCAGGTTAACCGGAGAAAGTCGTAAATTTAGAACTCGAACCGATGGGATCGCGCGGGGTGATTTAAACTGACGCTTAGCTCGGCCAGCGCCGACATCCGTGCGGCGATTATAGTCGTTACATCAATCAGCCCGAACGAATGGACGTATAATCTCGGTAATAAGGCCCGTTCGAGGGTAGAATCGGCACGGTTCCGCGTGTGTATGCGGTTTTCGCGATCAGCAAATCCGCGAGTTCTCTTCCCTTGTCTCTCTGGACTGTTCAATTTCGTTTTCCCCCGAGAAAGAAAAACATCACCGGAGATGGTGTTTATGTTCCTCGGGCAGCGATACACGAAAGAGGAGGTAGACCCCGTTCGTTAGAAACGAGTAAAAGCGACCGTGAACCGTTTCGAAGGCTATTCCATTTCGCCTGGAAACCTCGTTACGTTTAATTCCTCACGGTCAATTAAGAGCGGAGTAAAAGTTACGTAGATCGGCCACTCGATCGCGAGGAAGCATTTCTGATCGAAATCGTTCCGAGTCGATCGACGGGGGGGATCGGTATCGAGGAGTGGACGTCGCTGGCTAACCGGAAAGGAAGTTCCCACTTCGGTCTTCCGGCTTTCTGGTGTAACGGCGCGACTGAAATTGAAATTCTTCGGTTCCTTTCACGTCGTTCCCCTGAAACCACTGTTGCAATTACCTTGTTTGACTTACCGCACTTGTTTTGTTTAAAGAATATTGTATGGTCTATCGACGATCAGTTGTGTAAACAGTTCTTTAAGAAATGGTATTTGATTGAAGGTGAACTTGAAATTAAAATAACTACAGTAAGGCCTTAATCGGGAGACAAGCAGCAAATTATTGAAAACTTATTTTATTGACAAAGTACCCCCTTCCTATGACAGAAGATGCATTACTTTTTATGATATAACTATAGTTAATAAGATTATATAATTATTTACCAAATGTCGACTCATTTAAGAAGAAGTATTATTTTATTATAAAAATTGCAAATTCCACGTTTAAACGATTAAAAATAACGAACTAATTTATCTATTATTCGTTATTCGATACTCTTTATCTAAATAATTAATTCGTTCATCTCTGTTTATAATACACAATATTTCAAACAATTAGGGGATCGCTTTTCCCTACAACACTAACACCATTAACCTAGATATAT